TGGTAGCAACAGCATCTATCAGGTTCAATTCTCTTTTATCAGTCATCGAATCATTTGCGAATTTTTATAAAAAATAAAACAGCTATGACATCGATTTAAATAGAAACTCTTTTCGTCATGTAAACTGTTGATATTTCATGCTTTTGTAAATTCATTTACATTCGAATGATTACATTCAATTTGTCTGTAAATATTTAAAAGTCTGCAGTCTACTCACAATTCAGAGACAACAGATATAAACTACATTTATAACTATAATTTTTGTACAATGAATCTAGAAATAAGAATACGATACAATTTCACAAATTTCGCTTGTTGCGCGATCATCAAAGATTTTTTCATTAATACTCGCACCGGTAGAGGTATATAACCAACGTATAGATTTTATATCTAATTACGTAAAAATGAAAAACATATTCCTGGTTCTTGATGTAACTAAATCTATATTTAGTGAACTTTCAAAAAACTTGAAACACTTGGCGTATCTTTAGAATATAATATATAATCTGTCCCTTTTTAGTTAGGAAGAAGCGAAAAAGAAGAAAAAGGATGTTTTGTCTGTATATTTTTAATCTTGTATGTTTGATACATTCGCTTCGCATCACATGCAAATAAGTTCGAATACGTTCGGAATATGAAGCCTGACGATCGAGGATATCCGGCCCAAAAGATTTACGATTTATAAAATATATAAATAAATTCGCATAAATTGGAAATGTATTACAATTGGACCTGATATTCGACAGTTCATCGTGTGTAATCTTGAATATCTTGAGTCATTTGACATTGTTTTGATAAATTATTTGTAATGAGAAAGCTGTTGGACCTGGTTTTACGCTTGTTTTCCACATAACGTGGGGTCAGTTTTCACAAGCGATTTACTGATCAGTGAAAAGTGCCTCCAAGCAGCTTGTGCACCGTGTGTACCGGTTTATTAGAGCGTGACTGAAAACAGAAGCTGATTCTAGGAGAACGAAGGAGAACGGGCGAATCCTTTGCTCTCCCTTTTATATTTCCATCATGTTCAACGACCGCTTTCGTTAACATTAACACGAGATTCTCGTCGATACTCGAAAATGCATACAAATTCTAATAAGCTACGTCACAGATTCTGGCACGTGCAAAAGATTGCTTTATTTTAATTTCTGTCGATGATGACAATGAATGAAATTACATGAATACATATTTTGCAAGAACGTGTCCTTTCTATTTTATGTCTTTCAAACGAAAGATTCAATTTTATGGTCACGCTAAGGACAATTCTCAACGACGTTGTGTCAACGTCAGTACGTGCTACATGACGCATGAAAAACATGCCGAATTCATATTCAAATATCAGCCAAAAAAGTCGTGTCGAGCACATGTTTACAGAGTATAAGAATATAACGTATATACGAAATTTAAGCATGAATAAAAATTTATGGAGACTTGCATACGTCTAATGAATGTTTTTGAAAAATGATGAGCTGTAGGACAGTTTTCTTAAAGTTGAAAAGTTAAAAATAGATTCGCTCTATATGACTAAATATGTCCAGAGTTCAGAACGTATTCAACGAATTTCATACATACTAAACGTGCTTAAATGGTAACAACAATACTGGTTATATCTTGTGACATTATTTTATCGGACACCAAATGGTTAAAAGTTTATATAGCGCATGTAATATATAAATCATATATGATCATAATACGTATAATACATTGAATATTAATCGGCAATTCCAATATGTAAAAAAAATATTAAAGAAACGCAGTACATGCAAATATTTGATCTCTGCACGTCGTGTTCTTTTAAATCATTTAAAATTCAAACTCGTAAACAAGTGCAATCTAATTATCAGGTGCGTATTTGTAGGAAATCACTGTACCACTTATATTTTAAAAAAACAACTTTTTTCCTACATCGAACAGTAGCGATTTGATAAGAAATATGTAAAGCTCAGAATTTTATCAAGGATATCATGACATAACTCGCAACTGCATAACACGTTTATAAATAAATAAATAAAATGAGGTAGAAAATAGGAAGGTGTACAACCAGCCAGTAAATAAAGTGAAAATACAGCTTTAATTGCTTGGAATCATGTTACTTGAGCTACTCCTTCCACTATCTGCGTAAGTACGTACGAAATCATTTACGAGCAGTGCTTGGTTCGCTTTCGCGGATCGAAAGACAATGGCCTCTAATGGCGCTCCACGTTACTCCCTGAAAATCTCTTACAGCGCGATTCGGTCTTGCAATCATGGCTAATGATCGTCATTTTAAAATGACTTGACGAAACAAACAGGCAAATTATTGACTTTCCCGCGACTGTTTTGCAACGTCACGACCTCCCGAATGATATATAGGCACATATTCACGTACCTTACTCGCGTGAACATTTTCATCGATGATGAAATACAGATTTTTCACTTAATGAAAAAGTATTCGATGAGTAGATAAATTCGTGTCCGATTTGAAATAAAATTTGAACACAAACATTTTACATTTTAAGACAGAATTTCATTGATCCATTAAGTAACTAAGACTATTTTTTACCATCTTTCTGAAGGGATCTGGATTTTTAAAAATCATGTATTAATTTTTACAATAACCCAATATTTTAATTTAGTATAAACCATCGAGCCAAAACCGAGCTCCTCTCAATTCTTCTCAAACCGTGCAAACAACCTTCGGGCTTTGCGAAAACCGAGCCGATCGTAAAACAAGCTAATGAGCCACTTAAGGCACAGTCCCAATAACGTTGTTTCGAAAGTAAGGACGTTCGTGTTAGAAAGGAAAAGCTCTACTCGAGTCG